TGTGTTGCAGTCTACTTTCCACTTTCTCTTTTATCAGATTCAGTGTGATCAGATTTATATTGCGGTCTTTAATCCATTTGGACTTGAGTTTTGTGCAAGGTGATAGATATGGATCTATTTTCATTCTTCTACATGTTGACATCCAGTTATGCCCTCACCATTTGTTGAAGATGATTTCTTTCTTCCATTGTAAACTATTAGCTCCCTTGTCAAAAATCAGATGGTCATAGGTTTGTGGATAAATATGTGGATCTTCAATTTGATTCCATTGGTCAATGTCTCTATTTTTATACCAAGCTTTTTTCCTTACTGTAGCTCTGTAATAGAGTTTGAAGTCAGGGATGGTAATGTCTCCAGAAATTCCATTATTGTATAGGATTGTTTTGGCTATCCTGGGTGTTTTGTTTTTCCATATAAAGTTGATTATTGTTCTCTCAAGGTGTGTGAAAAATTTTGTTGGAATTTTGATAGCGATTGTACTGATTTTTATACATGGCCTTTGGTAGAATTGCCACTTTTACTATGATGATCCTACCCATCCAAGATCATGGGAGATACTTCTGTTTTCTGGTGTCCTCTTCAATTTCTTCCTTCAAATAGATCTTTCACTTACTTGGTTAGTGTAACCCCAAGATACTTTATGCTATTTGTGGCTATTATAAAAGGTAACCTTTATCTGATTTCCCTCTCTGCTTCTCTATCCTTTGTGTATAGAAGGGCTACTGATTTTTGGGAATTGATCTTGTATCCTGGCTTGTATCACTGAAGGAATTTATCAGCTGTAGGTGATCTTTGGAAGAGTATTTGGGGTCACTGATGTACACAATCATATCATTTGCAAATAATGAATGTTTGACTTCTTCCTTTCTGATTTGACTCCTCATAAATGGGTCTTGAATTTTGTCAAAATATTTTTCAGCTTCTAATGAAATGATCATATTTTTTTCCAGTTAATTTTTATGATGGATTACATTGATAGATTTTCATATGTTGAACCATCTCTGCATCTCTGGGATGAAGCCTACTTGATCATAATGAATTATTTTTTTATGTGTTCTTGGATTCAGTTTGTCAGTATTTTATTGAGAATTTTTGCATCCATGTTCATGAGTGAGATTTGTCTGTAATTGTCTATCATGGTTGAGTCTTTTTGTGGTTTTAATATCAAGGAAACTGTAGCTTCATAAAAAGTGTTTGGTAATGTTTCTATTATGTAAAACACCTTAAGGAATGTATGTATCAGCTCCTTGGACTGGAGAGGGAGAGGGTGGGGGAGAGGGAATAGGGAAGGAATGTGGAAGGAGGGAAGGAAGTGGAAATTTTCAATAAAAAATAAATTAAAAAAAGACGTCAAGAAACTAGATTTTAAATGCTAAATAACACGATTAAAACTGGGGCACTGAACTGAATGGAGAATTCTCAACAGAAGAAGTTCAAATGGCCAAAGGACACTTAAGGTCATGCTCAACCTCCTTAGTGATCAGAGAAATGCAAATCAAAACAACTTTGAGATACCATCTTACACCTGTCAGAAAGGCTAAAATCAAAAGCACCAATGATAGCCTTGGCTGGAGAGGTTGTGGAGAAAGGGGAACACTCATCCATTGCTGGTGGGAATGAAAACTTGTGCAACCACTTTGGAAAGCAGTGTGGCGGGTTCTCAGGAAATTTGGGATCAACCTACCCCTGGACCCAGCAATACCACTCTTGGGAATATACCCAAGAGATGCCCTATCATACTCCAAAAACATTTGTTCAACTATGTTCATAGCAGCATTATTTGTAATAGCCAGAACCTGAAAACAGCCTAGATGCCCCTCAATGGAAGAATGGATAAAGAAAGTATGGAATATATACACATTATAGTACTACTCAGTGGTAAAAAACAATGACATATTGAATTTTGTATGCAAATGGACGGAAATAGAAAACTATCCTGAGTGATGTTACCCAGACCAAAAAAAGATGAATATGGTATGCACTCACTCATAAGTGGATTATAGCCATAAATAAAGGACATTGAGCCTGTATTTCATGTTCTTAGAGAAGCTAAATAAGAAGGTGAACCCAAAGAAAAACATCTAGTTATCCTCCTGGATATTGGAAGTAGACAAGATTGCCAGCAAAATTTGGAAGAGTGGAGATAGGGGTGGGTTGGGGGTAAGGGGAGAGGTGGAGAGAGAAGGGAGAAAGGGAGGATGGAGAGAGCTTGGGGGAATAGGATGGTTGTGATGGAGGAAGGATGGATATATGGGCAGGGAAGTCGATATTTTAATTAAGGGAGCCATGTTAGGGTTGGCAGGAAACTTGACTCTAGAGGGATTCCCAGGTGTCCAAGGAGATGTCCCCAGCTTGTTCCTTAGGCAGCTGAGGAGAGAGCACCTGAACTGTCCTTATCCTATAGCCACAATGATGAATATTTTGCTTATCACCATAGAATCTTCATCTGGTGATGGATGGAGATAGAGACAGAGACCCACATTGGAGCACTGGCCTGAGCTCCCAAAGTCCAAATGAGGAGCAGAAGGAGGGAGAACATGAGCAAGGAGGTCAGGACCGCGAGGGGTGTGCCCACCCACTGAGACAATGAGGCAGATCTAATGGGAACTCAGGAAGGCCAGCTGGACTGGGACTGATGGAGCATGCGATCAAATCTGACTTTCTGAATGTGGCTGACAATGAGGGCTGACTGAGAAGCCAATGACAATGGCACTGGGTTTTGATTGTACTGCATATTCTGGCTTTGTGGGAGCCTATTCTGTTTGGATGTTCACCTTCCTAGACCTGGATGAACAAGGGAGGACCTTGGACTTCCCACAATGTTCTTTGGACTGGAGATGGAGGGGTAGGGGCTTTAGGAGAGGGGGGAGCATGGGAGGAGGGGAGGAGGTGGTAATTTTTAATAAAAAATAAAAAAAAATATAATCATATGAGGCAATCATGAAAGGGGCTTCAAGGAAACAATGAATATTTTTCTTTTTCCTGTGTTATGGTATAATATTTTCATGGCTGTTTACTAACTTGAAAACTTCGCAAGATGCTGATGTTTGAATGGACAATTTATTATTTGGCCATGTTACTTCAATAAAAATAATTTACACAAATATAACCAATGTAACTTCTTTGCCTACTTTTATTCATGGACAATTGCCATACTGAAAGCATTTAAGTGAAAATCATAGGGATGTGATAACTAAAATCAGAATTAATATGGGCATCTCTGTGAGATTTGACACCTCAGGCTTCACTTATAGAGAGTCCAGCAGTGAGAGACAGTAGAACAGTGGGATATGGAAATAATCATTGAAATGCAATAATTTATTTTAACTGAAAATGTCATTTTCTTTGGATCCTTACATAGAAGTGAGAATGTTGGGCACATTTCTTGTTTATAAATTTTTGTGATTTGCCCAAACTCCTTTATATTAAAGTAACAGAACCATGTTCTCATTTACAAGACACAGGGTCCATTTCTCTCCATCCTCAAAACACTGTAATTTAATTCCTTCCTTAGTGAATAGCTCTTGAATTATTGGCTACAGGTAACTTATTCTTTTGACCTTCATTTTCATTTTTATGTTGATTAAAGATGCTTGTTTTATGCAGCCTACTCTGCCCACATGCATTGGCCAAGATGAAAGAACCTACAGAGACAATGGCATGCAGGAAAATGTCTGTTCATGAGGGCATTCTAGCTATGTGCTATCCTTAGACTCAAATTTCAGACAAGTGATAGAATTGAGTTATATTTGAGAAGAAAAATGAGACTTATCTCTTGGATGGGACAAAAAGGTTAGGAGTTAAAGGTCCTAACCTTTTACAAATATTAGTGGTATTTCAAAAAAATTTTCATTAGTCCATATGAGGAATATCTTCTGAAATTTTCTATATGTGTCAAAGCCTCATATAAACTATGGAGAACTTACATTGGGTTAACACTCAGAAGTAGATGAGATAATGAAATATTTTATTTTTAATCATGTATATATGTTTCTGTATGAGTACTGTAGTGTACATGGGGAAAAATAGAGACCATGGGTTCTCTGGACTTAAGGAAATTATGACTTAAACATTGTGGGTGCCAGGAATTAAAACTGTTTCTCTGAAAGAAGAGTATGTTCTCTAAATCTTTGAACTGCTTTCCAAACATGCAGATGAGCAATGGCAACATTCACTTTTATGTTTGCTTCAGCTCAGTTCCCAACAGTTGAAATATCAAACCAATCTGCATGAACATGTAGGACCTTGCATCAGTAATAGCCAGTCATCAAAAGCACAAGATGACCACTTACCATGTACAACTTAAGAAGCTCCACTTCGGAAAAGAAAATTAGGGAAGTCTGATCAGAGTTTTGACAGTGTAGAGTGAGAAGATTAATCAGTTAGTTGGGAAGGATTATCCCAAATAATGAGTTATATGGAAGTTGACCAAATTTAATAAGAACACATCCTGTTTTCATTTATGGAGTAAGTCAGATTTAAAGTTAACAAACCCTCCAAAAAAGTATTCTTTAAGCCTGAGGAACCACTGCTTATAAGGAAAATATGGGTATTTCAGTTTCCAGGGCATTGTGGGAAATGACTTTAAATTATAGGTACAAAAACAAAGAGGACAAATTACAGCTCTTTTAAAGTTCTCTAGCTTATAACTAAACCTAACATCCAACAAGTGTCATAACTGCTGACTGCTTTAAAATATCTGCATATATATGAAAATGTGTAAATATGTATCTATATATATGTGTGTAGGTAAAATATATAAAGTTATATGTTATTCTATCTAATAACAAGAAGCAGGTTGTTAGCTTACAGGGTTTGTGGGAAAAGCTGTTTGTTATAATGAACAAATAGGAAGTTTATTAGACTATGACAGTGAAGAGATGACTCTGAAGATTGTTCTTTTTTCTTTTTTCTTTTTTTTTTGTCTTTGGAAGAGGAAAACACAGATTCTAACACTGAAACATATTCTCATGCAGCATAGTCTGGAACTTCTTATCTTATTAAGCAACCACATAAGGCTCTTGGAAGACCATGTAGGACCACATTGCCCCCTGCTGGTCCTGAGCGTCTTCATGTGGAGGTTTTTGTACAGGATCACACTGGAGTTCTCTCACTGTGTCTATGGTACAGTAATACATGGCTGTGTCCTCAATTTGCAGACTGTTCAGTTTTAAGAAAACTTGGCTCTTGGAGGTGTCCCTAGTGATGCTGATTCGGGACTGAAGAGCTGAATTATAATATGTATTTCCATTATATGCTATTACTCCCATCCTCTCCAGACCCTTTCCTGGAGGTTGGCGGACCCAGTGTACACCAGTGCTGGTTAATGAGAACCCAGAGACAGTGCAGGTGAGTGACAGTGTCTGTGAGGACTGCACCAGGCCAGGTCCTGACTCCTTCAGTTGTACCTGGGACAGGGCACCTAGGGACAAGCAACATCACCATCAGTCATATAACCCATAGATGAAAAACCAGAGTCCCTTTCCTGAAACCATGATGAAGCACTTACAGCTTGGAAATGTCACCAGGCAGAGGAACAGAACCAGGACAGCCATGCTGTGTTGGAGGCTCTAGTCAGAAGGAGATGGGGCCTCTCAGCTTGGTCTTGGATTTCATCCTGTGCTTGCAGACTGCTTTGCATTGGGGAGGTCCCAGAGTGCATAAAAGGAAGCACAGGCAGTGTTTGCAATTCCTCCTCCAGGAAAATAAGATTTGCTTTGTGTGTCTTAGAGGTACTCAATACTCAATATCAGGAATATTGCTGTGATGCTGTCTGGATTTCCAATTCCAGAGAAACAGGAAATATTAAGAGTTATATGTACAGGCCTTAGAAGCAAAACATACAAGTGTTTACATTAACTAGGTCCACATTCATTCAGTGCAGGCAGAGGAGAATACCAGGTTCTCAATGGATTTATTTATCTCTGTATCTTCCAGTAGAGAATTTAAGTATCATTGGTGATCAGAAATCCTGTTTAAGGACCTACTTAAAATTCTTTCTCTTGGTGTCTGTGGAGTTGTCTCTATCTTATAACTTCTCAGGAAAAAACTTGTGAGGAAGCAGCTCACACACATTTTATACATGTGATTTCACGTTTACCTGTAATGAAATCTGTGAGACTGATTTAGGTTCCATCAAATTAGGCTCAGATTTCACCTTCTCACTAAGGAACATCATACCTGGATACTAGTTTTCATTCCTTTTGATTTATGTCAGTCTATCCATGTACTTTTTTATCTTTCTTTTTCACTCTCCTAAGCTTATAGCAAATCACGGGTTCCTAAACATGATTGTTGCTTTGGTAAGTGATGGGAAGCTCAGCTACCCATAACACTTCATAAAAAGCAAGAGCATACAGCCAAATTTGAGGGTTATGTTCAATGAAGTAATAACAAAATAGAGAACATTTAGTGATGAGAAGAAGTGGACTGGAAGGACAATATGAACTTGGGGAACCCTGTGACTTGAATGATAGTCAGGGCATAGAAAACAAGAGTTTCTACTGTTTATTTCTTGTCTCTTGTTAATGCAGATCACTAGGGAAGAGAAGTGCAGAGTTGGAACTAATCTGTCCTTTCAAGACACAGGAAATGTCTGTCTCACTTGGTATTAGAGACGTCACAATGTGTGTCCATTATTTCTTTATGCATAGTCTTTTCACTTTTTACTGTGAGTTGCTGTGGTAGAAAGTGCTCTTCACTTTAAGGAGACAGCCATTCTGTGAAAGCCCTGATAATGTACAGTATGACTTCAATGTCTCCTGTGTTTTTTAAAGTTTCAGGGTTATAAAAAGATTTTTTCAGACATTATGCTTAGTATGTTTCATTTTGTGTTTGTTTGATATTTTCATTGTGGGAAATAATCTGGGAAGGAGTATCTCAGAAATAAATGCACATTTCTTTATTATATTGGGGAACTAGGTATAAACCCACTTATTCAAATATTTTTTGTCCTTAGTTACTTCACAGATATTCTCTAACTCAGGTTTCTATTTCTGTGAAAAGACACCATGACCACAACTGTTATAATGAAACCGTATAATTTAAGTGGCTTTCCTGCTGCTCCAGAAGTTCAGACCATTCTCATCATGCAAGAAGAATGGCAGTGTGCAGTAAGTCATGGTGCTGGAGGAATAGCTGAGAGTCCAACATTTTGCAAGGAACAAGAAGTCAACTGAGAGACTGGGCAGTATCCTGAGCAAAGAAAACCTCAAAGCCTACCCTCCACAGTGACAGTTTCCCTCCAGTCAGGCCATGCCCACTCGACCAATGCCACTCATCTTAAAAGGGACATTCCCTTTGATATTATGTGGGCCTATTTCATTCAAACTCCCACAGAGTGTTAGTATCCACATTCCATACTCTCTTACTTCTTGGGTTTCTCTTGTTCCATGAGACTCTCGAGAAGGAAGTCACTGGTAAATCAGCATTTTCCAAGGGAATTCATTCATGGTAAAGTCACACATTATTCATTATTATCTTCTATTTTAGAGGTGCATTCATATTCTTAAGGGTTTATTCATTCATTTGTTTAATTATGTAAGAGGATAGATGGATACTCACTTAGTGGGTCATGTAGAATTAACAGTACTGGACTGTCCACTTGTATGGTTCTCAGAATCTTTTTGCATGATATAAACTAAAGTCATCATGGAAAAAGGGACCTTATTTGGAAAAAAATACCTACATTATATTGGTATGCAGGCAAGACTATGATGTCATTTTCTTGATTAATAACTGATGTAAGAGTGTCCAGATCGACGTAGAGATTACCATCCACAGGTAGGTGATTGTGCATTGTATAAGGCAGCAGGTTGCATAACCATGGAGAACAAGTCTGTGAATTGAGTTTATTTGTGATCTCTGATTCAGTTCCCACTTTCAGGTTGTCTTGATTTCACATCCTAATTTCCTCCGTGGTGGTCTGTAATATTTAAGAATACACAAACCCTTTCCTTTCCATGTTGCTGACCACATCAATAGGTAGCAGACTGGGATAGTTTTAGATTTTTCTGATAAGAGAATGGGTTGAGAATTGTGACAATGTGTATAACTGCAACCATAGTCACACATACAGTTACACTTTTAGGTACAGCCACACTCTGCAACACACACATTCACATTCACAAAGAATCACAATTACAGATATGGTCACACATATAATTACACATCAAAACATATACACAGACACAGATGCACACATCATGCACAGACATATACACACCACTACCACCAACATCACCCCCACTACTCCTACTACTACACCCACATGTAGAAATGCTTATTCATAAGCAGAGGGACTGAATTTCTATCTTTCTCTCTTTTTCACAGGGTCACTCTGGTTGGCTTTGTCTCCCTATGTAGACTAAGCTGATATTGAACCATGTGGTGACTGAATCAAAGGTGTGCAACTTCACTCCAAACCTTCTCATACAGAGTTCTTAAAACTTTGACATAATTTTTTCATATAATAATTTCTGATCATTATTTTCTTCAGTAGTAAGGTGCCTGTCTCACAGAATGAGTGTTTCAGTTTGATTTTCAGCACTTAACTCTGAAGCTGGTCGTGATGATTTATCCTTATATTCTCAGAACTGATGAGGTAGTGAAAGGAGCTATCCCACCATTCTATCTGACCCTCCTGAACTTCAGGTTTAGTGTGAGACCCTCAAAAATAAGGTAGATGTCAACTGAGGAATACACTCAGAATCAACTTGTGGACTGTACACCCATGTGCAAGCATAAACTGTGCTATTTAGTGTTTGCATTCATTCAAACACTTCCCTTTCCATGTGTTGAACTCACAGTTTATAGTTACTTAGTTTTAGAATCTGCGTACCTAAGTCGGGCTGATTGTTATGGGAAGCAAGAGTAGAACTCCTCTGACACAATGGATACTTATTCCCACTCCAAAACTTTCATCTGCCCTTCCTACTCTAGGAACTATCATTCCTCCTCCAGTCGTAAGATTGCTTGTTTTAAGTGTATTAATGTGAGAACTGATATTTTTCTGTATATAATTCTGATATTTTTCTTTTTATTTTGAACTTGGTTCTTGACTTAATACCTTCCAGATGGAATGCAAGTACTATAACTCACAGATAGCCTAGCCTTCCATTCTTTAAAATATCACATTTTATATCAGAAAATAATGTTTTGATTATAATATTCAAAAACAAACATCAGCCTCTCCAAGTTCTACTTGATACCCTGCTCTTTTGACTGCATGTAACACAGCAGAAAAAAAAAGTATATGATCAATATTTTGACCATCAATTTCCAAAATTTGGATTAAGAAAAACAAATAAAACCAAAGAAATAAAATGAGGCCAGGAGAAAGAAACTTCCTTCCCAGCTTGTGGCTCCCATCCATGTGGCGGTTGGATTAATTAGCACCAATGATACTAGGTATTTGAACAAGTTTAATAACAAAACCAGACTCACAAAACCAAGGTTCCAGTGGAGTACCCGGCGGGGACAGGAAGGAAGGGAAGGGGCGCACAGCCTCTGCCCGCCGAATTTATCAGTAAACATACGCCCGAGGGCAGCCCGCCCCCAAGGGGAGGGCTTATCCCTACACATCCACAATCTAGAGTACATTAAATAATGAAATCATCATGTACTGTAAAGATTCATGGAACTTGCATGATTCTCACTATTTATATTTAACACCACACACTTGAATGAAATGGTATGAAAATAAGAATGTACTGTGACATCATAAACACATTGTCTGCAACCCACTAAACTGAAGAAGGCAGGGGCTGCTGAGTTGTGCTCTCACTCATTGATGTTCTGATTGTCACTTTGGATCTTATGCAGAAAGTGGATCTGGGTTTTGTTTAGAGCAGTTATAATGGGAAAGGAGGCCCTGACTGTAAAGTCAATACCTCAGTCCAAGTATCCCAGGGCAACTGACACCTGGGATGGGCACTGGGATCTGACGATGCTCTGGTAACCTCAGTAATGCTATTAACATAGTATGAGAAAATGGACCTCTCTTAAGCAAACACAAACTCCCAGACATAAACACAGACAGATATATAACAACAGAGACAAACCTACACAAAGAAATATATACTAGGGCAAACATATATGTATGTCAACATATTATTGGAATAGCATCCTTTCTACTTAAAATAACATGTTCATTCATAATTTAGCTTGATAATATTGATACATCTCAGTACGCTCTTGCTCCTGCATCCTAATCTGGATGACCCTGTGTTCCCTGAGCTATGTGTTGTCCTGTGGACTGAAACTCAGAGAAGTGATTGAAATGAATTTTTCTTGATAAGAAAAATGAGACAGTTCTTTACATGAGAAAAGGTGTTCTATCATTCAACAGGGAGAAGTGATGATTCAAACACAGCATTTATTAACCAAAATGAGGGATTAATTCTTGAAATGTTTCATTTTGAATCAAAACAGCGTTTATACTACACAAGAACTCTTCCATCAAATTAACTTCCAAGAATAGATGAGTATTTCTTTTAATAAATACTTTTTGTTGTTTTTTTCAAGGCAGGGTTTCTCTGTGTAACAGTCCTAGCTG